GCTTCCTTCCTGCAGGACTTAGCAACTGAATTTTAATGCTGTTGATATTTCTTTTAGTATGCAAGCTATTATATCTTGTATATATTTTATATATACGTATGTATATTTTGAATGCAATGTTATTAAACAAATCTATACAGAAAGTGTGCTTTCCCTAACTATATAACTCCTCCAAATGCCTGAAAAACACTTCCTATTCTGTCTGCTCAGGATGCTCTGTCTGAGAGGGTGCATAGGGAAGGATAGAAAGAAAATTACAGTACGTCCTCACTTAATGTCATCAATGAGTTCTTAGAAAGTGTGACTTTAAGTGAAATGATGTTGTAACAAAACCAATTTTAATGTAGGCTAAAGGATAGAAACAAGAGTTAAGTTCCTGTGGCATATTTCTGGTCACAAAAACATCACCAAATTTCTAAATAAAGACCCCCAACACTCCTAACATTAAATATTGAAATAAATGTGAGCTATTCATACATTTAAGAAAGATGAGTAAAACGAAGATAAGATAATTATTCTCCAACTTGCTTGTTCCAGTTCAGGGTCTCAGGTGGGTGGGGCCTATCTCAGCAGCTCAGGGCACAGGGCAAGCACCCACCCTGGACAGGACGCCCTTCCATCATAGGGCACACTCACGCACAGACCCACACTCTCTCAGCCGGGCACAAGGTAGACAACCCACTTCCCCTACCAGGCACATTTTTGGAATGTGGGAGGAAACTTAAGTTCCCCCCCAAAATACCCATGCAGACATGGGGAGAACATGCAAACTGCACACAGACAGTGGCCCTGGCTAGGAATCGTTTTTTCTTTCTTCGTTTTATCAATGTTATAACAAAATGACGAATAAAACAACATTTTTGAGGACCTACTGCATATGTAGAAATTCGGACCCAATGTTTTTATTATGTCATCTACCTTAAGTTCTAAATTAGAATTTCCCATATGGAACTGTGGTCTCTCTTGGGACTCAAGCACTCACACATAAATTCTCAGAGGGCCAGAGCATTAGCATGTTACTACAGTAAGAGCTACTCTGAATCGAATGATATCTCTGGATAGCACATTGAATCCAAATGCTGAACATTGTATGCTGATCTTCGGTAATGCACAGATGTCTTTGCAGCCAGCCCCCGGTTCTTATGGTACTGTTCTTCCAGATGCAAATACTCTTGGCATGCCACCAGTGTGGCAAGGTTCTGAACTTGCAACCATCTTAGTTAAGGTTAAGTTTAATAGTAATTTCATCCCCCACTGATCTTGAAGATATGCATGTTTTTTCTGTAATTTGTTAAGTTTCTTTATGCCTGTAAGTACAATATTTGTTGATTCATTGCTTTCTTCTGCATGGGTTACATTAAAAATTTTTTTTACCTTAAAAGCCCATGCAATTACATTTTCTTCAATAGTGCTTCCAAGTTAAAATTTGGTGGTTTTTTCCCTTCCTGTATGTATTCTACAGGTTGCATTACTTCTCTTTCTAGCCTGTGGATATGTTATTGCTTCCAAAATTTTGTTTATTGCATTCTTTGCATTTTCTTGGCACACACTACCCTTTTTAACTACATAAATTGGATACTCTGTATAGAGTTCCTACCAGAGCATTTATTGTATAATGTTTTATAGCCCTTCTGAGACCTATAATCTCTCCCTATTACTTTTTCCTGTTCTTTTATCTCTCCACATTGTGAATTGCTTTAAGAGTCTTGTCCCCTCCTTTATTATTTACACTTTGCACTCGGCGAATTCTGGTGCTTTCCAAAAGTTATTTGCCTCTTGCAGCACTAAATCTGGAGCTTTCTATGTCCCGAGAGTCTCTTGTCTTTTTTTCTAATCACAATTTGATTTCTGACTTCAATTCAGACAGTATCTAACAGTTCAAGAAATATTGTGTGGACTTCTTTGGAAAATACATTCTGATATAGCCCTAGATACTTTTTCCATGTACCACTTAGGATTTGTCTCAGCTGCTTAGAACAGGAAACCCAAATTACAGAAACCTAAACCAAAAAGAAGTTTATTTTTTTCTTTATGTGGAAGAGTTCCAGGGGCAGGCAGTCCAGTCTTCATGGACTCTTTCTGTCTTTTTGGTCCTTGGTGAGTGGTTTCTTAACTTTGCTTGTTGGCTCTTCTTTGCTTGAAGGCTGCTGCAGCCGCATCCACATTCCAAGAGGCAGCAAGAAGAAACAGAAAGAGAGAAAGGACACTTTTAGGGTGAAACAATCACCTTTAAAGAGCTTCCCTAGAAGTCCCATCCAACGACTTCTAGGTAAATCTCATGGATAGTTTGGCATTTGCCTTCACTCAAAATGCAAAGCAAGTGAACTAAGGAGAAAGAGGGGAATGGACATTGAGTAAGCAGCCACAGTACTTGCCACCTTTAGACAGTCCCGCTGTAGTGTGTGGGCTCCATACTTGAGGCAAAACTTCCGTTTGAGGCTGCCAGGCTCCCCAGGCCACACCTTCCCTCTCTGGGAAATGCCTAACCTTCTCTGGACTTCCCAGGACATAGGGCATGCGGTGCCTTTTTCAGGGACATACACCAACGACAAATGCTTAACTCCTTTCCCAGGGATGATGACCCTTCTCAAAGATGACTCTTTTTGAACGCTACTTATGAGAAACATTGATCACTTGCATTATCGAGTATTCTTCCAAAGTTGTTGCTTTTTGCAATAAACTATGCCTTTATTCTTTATTCTTTTTTTATTGACTTCAGAAAGGAAGGGAGAGGGAGAGAGAGATAGAAATATACATGATGAGAGAGACTCGTTGATTGGCTGCCTCCTGCACGCCTCCTTTCCCCCCTCCCCCCCACTGGGAATAGAGCTCGAAACTCAGGCATGTGCCCTTGACTGGAATCGAACCTGGGGCCCTTCAGTCCGCAGGCTGATGCTCTATCCACTGAGCCAAACCAGCCAGGAATGGCTTTATTCTTTTGGAGTTAAAATTTTGTTACTCAAAGCCAAGACTTTAGAATTAAAAAAATCTTTTATCTCTCTAAAATCCTAGGCCTTATAATTTGATATTTTGGTTTTTAAGATGATTGTCTCTGCCATAAACTTTAAAAATCTCCTCATGACAACAAATTCCCTTCAGTAAATAACTTGATTTCTGTTACTATTCAGAATGCAGCCGCTTGAGACAATGTAGAAAGCCCCCATTGTTACCTGAACGGGGGCAACTAAACTTCAAGGAACCTTGGGTAAGATATGAAAATGTTATCTACTGAATAAACAATAGTAATACAAGCCAGAAAAGCAATGCATTTAAAGCAGTTTAAGAAGTGCAAAGACTTGACAGGACTAGACTTAACTTTAATAAAAAAAAAAAAAAAAGAAGTGCAAAGAGCAAAGAATTCTGACTGTGGGCAAGCAGGGAAGATGTGCCTGGACAGGGATCATTGAGTTCCTTCGTCCCTGAAAGACTCTGATGCCAGAAAACAGAAGGAATGACTTTGCAGAGCAGCTAGAAAGGTACCTGTTTAGGTCAATTGTACAGAAAATATAAGTACTTTGCATGACACTGTCATCAGCCAACAAATACTTACTCAGCATCAACTTTGTCCTGGTTGCATACTAAGCTTGAGGCTTCAAAGGCAAAGAGACCTTATCTCTGACATTTAGGAGTTAGGGGTCTTGTTAGGGGAAATAGGTAAATAAATAACATCCTATATAATAAAAACCCAGTGACCATAATGGCAGAACGACCAGAATGACCACTCGACCAGTCACTATGAGGTGCACTGACCACCTCTTGGTCCCTTTCCCCAGCTGGCAGGCTCCGATCGCCAATGGCAAACAGGAACTGGGGTGGGTGGTGGGAGATGCGGGTGGTGCCAGGCCAAGGCCCCCACCCTGCCGGTCGCCCCACACACAGAGGGTGACCTGCAGTGGGGTTGGGGCTGGTGAGCGGGCAGCAATCGCTGATCTCTTGGTGCCTCCCCCGGCCGTCAGGATCCCGTCACCAAATGGTGAATGGGGAACCAGGGTGGGTGGTGGCAAGATGGCCTCGATCGCCGGCCAAGCTGACAGACTCCACCCATGCACGATTTCGTGCATCGGGCCTCTAGTTATAGTATAATTTGAGCAGTGCTATATTTGGGGTAGAAGTAACAATGGTGAATGGATGAATAAATTTATTATTAAGTATTTATTGAAATAAGTACCTTCCTCTCCCATGTGCCAGGCCCTGGGGTGACAGGCACTGGGGACACAATGGAAAGAAAAGCAGACAGTGTCTCTGAGCTCCTTGAACTTACAGTCTAGAAATGAAAGAGGAACTCTAATGACCAGGCATAAAGCTTAAGCTGAACTCACATTTATATTCTGTTGTGAAATCAGGGCTATACATGTGGAAATTTTGCTGTGAATATTTTAAAACATGTAATAATTTCTGTATTTAAGAACTTTAACAGCTTCCTTGAGGAAATTAAAATAAGCACTATGCACATTACAACATTTTTAGACTTACTTTTGCTGGCATAATACTCAAAATTCCAATAAGAGGGTTATCAAGTGAGTACACAGAAGGGTACTTGTGGTGAGAAAAATTTGAAAACCCATTTCAGATATATTTTTAACTGTCCATTTGTATTATAATACTGGGAAATGCAACCTCTTCTATCTCTCCTGTTAAAGCAAAAGCACCTGAAATTTGACTAGGCTATGTATCTCATCATCCTCGCCCTTTTTCTGAACTTAATCATTAACCTACACTTGTTGAAGGCCTCAAATGTTCCCAAACCAGTGTTCAATCTGCAACAGAACCTTCATTTGTTCACTTGACAAAGGGGTTTGTAATCCTGTTTGGAGCGATATGTCATACATTCTTGAAAACTTAACTGAAAATGTCAGTAGGCATGTCACTGATATTAGATTGGGTATACAGAGTTGCTCATGTCAAGAAGACCTACGTTCCATTGTAGAGAAAGCTCCAGCCAGGTTAATCTAACTGAAATAGTCTGATAAATGTTAAAGGTCATGTTCAATGTCTTGCAGGTCCTCCATGCCTTTACTGATGCCATTTTTGATGAGTGGATGAGAAGATTCAATCCTTCCGCAGATGCTTGGCCTCAGGAGCTGGCACCCATTGGTCACAATCGGATGTACAACATGGTTCCTTTCTTCCCTTCGGTGACTAATCAGGAATTATTTTTAACCGCAGACCAACTTGGCTACAGCTATGCCATTGATCTTCCAGGTAACTAATACAACTTCTAAATGGGTGATTCATCTTTTAAAGGAGCTTTCTTTCTTTTTAAAAAAAATGTAAACCAAGACCTTAAATTGAAGCATTCAGGTCTCATTAACTTTATTGGCAATTTTCTAGGATACATATATTTAGTAAAATTAGCCTTTGAACTACTAATTAAACATCAGAAAAGGGACTGGTTGGATGACTGTTGTTTTAGAAAACTGAAAGTTGTGAACAAACCTTATTCCACAGAGGAAGTATCTACTCCTACGCTTGACTTGACAGTTTTGTCTGAGTTAATTGAAAGCTGGCCATGGTTTGAACTGTCTAATCAGTAAAGTCAAAATTCACTAGCCTCATGTGGAGAGGGACTCCCAGGAGATCATTACTGGAAGGCAAGGCTGGGTTTAGAGTGAGGCAAGAGCAGCACTTGTTTGGACCACAAAGTTTCAGGGGAGGCCAAATATGTTAGTAATTTAGATATGTAATAATATCATGCAATATTTTAAAACAATAAATGCAAAAATGTTTTGATGAGTTCACTATCAAAATTTTAAATAAAGACAGGCTGTTGTTTCTTTTATATTCTTGCAACATTTTGTAACTGGACCATTTTTTCCAATTATCCCATACCACCCCTGCTAGGTGGGGTTTGTAAAGCTGACCATTGTCTGCTAACAGATTGGGCTACATGGGACTTCATGTGTATATTTTATAAATTAATGCTTTTTTAAGACATGTTTTTAGATTGTTGATTTTTTTATTTGCTTTTCTTACTTAGTTCAAAATATAGAAGGATATTTTGATAAGTTCATATAGGGGCACTTTTTTTTTTTTTTTTTTTTTTTTTTTACCTAGGCCCCAATATAGCTCTGTGTGCCATTTAAAGACTCTTAGTTTGCAATATATACAAATATTGAGTCATTATGTTGTACACCTAAAACTAATAATGTGCGGTATGTCAATTATACCTCATTAAAAAATCTTAGAACAGGTTGAGAAAGAAAGCTAAAATAATAGCAAATATCTTAATTTGTCAAGAAGTCAAAAAACAGACATCCCCTCTGCCAGTAGCTTTTCCCATTTGTGTCTATTTCATCTTCACTAAGTCTCCACCTACAAAGTAATGAGGACCATTTTTGAGCTCACATTTGTCTCTTTGACTGCAGAGTCTTTCAGGCTCCAGAATCTGTCCCCTGCTTTTCCTTCTAATTTGCATCTACTGCTGCTCCTTCTCCTTCCTGATTTAAAATTTAATTTCTGTGGGCAACTGAGGGTATCTCTTTGAAACTTCTTTTCCTTTTCTCTGGGACATAAAATAACCAAAAAGTTTGCAGTGTGCATTTTGACCATGTTTCCTGCTCTGAAATCAGCCAATTAAGAGGTATAGACTGAGAGTCTAAATATGCCCTGAAAGCATTGACTCACTAGAAGACACAAACTCATACTCATTTACTGGTCTGACAAATAAGTTTACAGTTGCATCTGAGGTAGCAGAACTATAACCAGAAGTCAGAGAAGGGAGTGAGGCATTTGGGAAAGGAGGTAGGTCTTGAGCTAGATTCGAAGAGATGATAGATCTTAGGTAGCTGAGGAGGAAAGTAGCAACATTTTAGATTGAAGGAGGGCAGGGCACAGGACTGTGAAAGGCACAGATAGTCTACATAGAGGACTGTGCGAAGAAATCCTGGTTGTAATATAAGGCTTGGGTAGAAGATTATTGTGAATTCAAGTTGGATATGTGATGTACACCTGAAACCTATATAATTTTATTAACCAATGTTACCCCAATAAATTCAATTTAAAAAAGAAAAAAATGGGCATTGAATAGTTTAAAAAAATAAAGCAAAGTTGGAACTGCGAGAAGGACCTGATTATGTAGGACTTTAAAAACTAGGCAAAAACCACAATTAGGTACCATTTTCTACCCATTAGGATGGCTACTAACAAAAAAAAGCAGAAAATAACAAGTGTTGATGAAGATATGGAGAAATTGGAAGCCTTGTGCACTGATGGTCAAAATGTAAAATGGCATAGCCTCTGTGGAAAAACAATATGGAAGTTCCTAAAAAAAAAATTAAACATAGAATTACAACATGAGCTAGCAAATCAGCTTCTGGATATATATCCCAATGAATTGAAAGCAAGTAATCAAACAGATATTTATACAACTCTGTTCATAGCAACTTTATTCACAGTAGATGTAAGGTGGAGGCAACCCAAGTATTCACTGATGGATGAATGGATAAATAGAGGTGGTATATGCATACAATGGAGTATTATTCATTAATAATTCATTCATTAATAATATTCATTAAAAAATCCTGTCATGTGGTACAACAAGAATGAATCTTGAAGACAGTATGCCAAGTTAAATAAAGCAGTCACAAAAGGCCCAAAACTGTATGATTCCACTTCTTTGAGGTATCAAGAGTAGTTAAATTTATAGAGATAGAAAGTAGAATGGTAGTCACCAGGATCTGGGCTAGGGGGTGGGAGATGGGTGGGTTACCATTTCTGTTCTACAAGATAAAAAAAGTTCTGCGGATGGATGGTGGTGATAATTGCACAACAGTGTAAATGTACTTAATGTCACAGAACTATATACATAAACATGGTTAAGAGGGTAAAATAGATGTTATGTGTATTTTACCACAATTAAAAAATAATATTAATTTTAAAAAAAGCCAGGCAGGGCAGTTTGGACAATAACAAAAGACAATCATTTTTGGTTCCTGAACAAAGAAATGCAGACTTGAAATCTGTGTTTTAAGAAGCTTAGATTGGCAAAAAATGCTGCTCAATTAGAGCAAAAGGAGACAAATTAAAATCCTTTTGGGGGAATTCCATCAGGATGGGTCAGAGCCCTCTGTGGGATTGAAAGAAAAGAACGAGAAGGAGAATCTACATTAAGATAAGTGTAGGATATAGAACAAGAACCTAGTGTAGAGAAACTGAATTTAAGAACAGCTGTCCAGGCTAAGATACTTTCTAAAAAAAATGACAAGTAGGTATACATATACTAGAAATAATATCCATTAATTTTGTGGAAGAGTGATTATAAAATACATTTGAGTAGAGGATTGGATTTCTCATGTAGAAGATTCAGATTTTATTCACAACTATCTAAATGGGTACCAATTTTAACTGTTCCTGCTATTGAATGTCTCCTGTTGTAATAACCCATCTGCTCTGTCTTGATCATTTATCATCCCATAAAGCAGGTAGAGACAATGGCAGAAATTCTCCACCTGAGGGTTGCATATTTTGCAGTTCACCAGATACCATTTTAGCATGCACGTTTACAAATGAGTTTCTAACTTACAAAAGTAGTTATATATACTTCCTTGGAGGGTTTATTCTATATAAATATTTATTGTAAGAAAATTTTAAAGATGCAATAAACTGTATTTAAATAATGGAATGACATTTCCCACTTCCTTAAGAAAGAAAACAATTGTGGCTGTGATAAATAGTTGGTGAGGAAGGAGAAGATAAATTTTATTCTAGCCAGTGTTGTTTTGCTTTATCAACAAAAAATGCACGTAAAAGGCAAATTGGTCTACTTTTTCCTTTGTGAAGAGTGTTCAGCTGATGAAAATCCCAACCACAGACTTTTTTTCTTCTGTTTTAATTTCAGTTGAAGAAACTCCAAGTTGGTCCGTGACTCTCCCAGTGGTTATGGGAATGCTGGTGGCTTTGGTTGGTCTTTTTGTCTTGCTGGCTTTCCTGCAGTACAGAAGACTTCGCAAAGGATATGCGCCCTTAATGGAGACACACTTGAACAAGAGATACACAGAAGAAGCCTAGGATGCTCATGCCTTACCCTAGAGAAGAGGCCAGCCAAAGAGACCTTGTTGCTGAGACCCTGACAACAAACTAATCCTCACTGTTCTTCCTTTAGCTAAAGATCTTTGGCACAGCTCATTCTGTTGTGATGGTGACCCCAAACACAGATGATGCTTAGCTGTGGTTTGCTTTTCTGTGTAACAGACTGAAGCTGAAGTGCTTGAGGCTATCTCTACCATCAAACAAAGGTAGAGCTGAAGATGTGTGCTATCTCATAATAGTTCCCCATATTGATTTAGCCTCCTCAGTGTTTTGAGAACATAAAAAAAAAGTTGGTAGTGTAGATTTATTGTAATATTATGGCTAGTGAAATTTGCGATTTGGACAAGATTATGGTTCAGTCTTTCTCAGCCCAAGTGTCACCATTTGTAATAGGGTGGGGTAGGGAGTGGCAGGTGCCACAATGGTCTCTAAGCTCCCTTTGAACTACAAATATCTATGCTTTTAGGTGCCTTTCTGAGTGTCTTCTTGAGGCTTATTTTTCTTCTTTTCCTCTTCAGCCTTTAAAATGGCTGAGAGGATGAAAATAGGCCTTATTTCCCAAGTAAGGTAGAGAACAAATGAATGAATGAATGAATGATTCGGTTCTTTTATATATCAGACTTTTCAGAATTTGTCAGAAGTCTGAAGTTCTTAACAGTAGACATATCACAAGATTCAATAGCTGGGTAAATATGAATCATACAGTGACAAATAAGTAAATGAAGGATTAAATTATAGAGCTTTCCAGTTAACTAACATACAATTTCAAACCCATTACCAAAAATAGAATCCCTCTTTCCAGGAAAGGCTGACTGGAGAAGGCTGGTGAGGATCCCGAATATCAGAGTTCCATTGCTCTGTCTCATTTGACTGATCCTGAACCAATTTCTTTACTAGGTAGCCTCAGATGAAAAATTACTAACCTAAAATGCATTTGGCTTATTTTTAAGAGTTGACTTTGTACTAATTAATTCTGTACTATACTGACATTACTTATGAATATTAATCAATTAAGTCTCATCATTTAAAAGCAAACCATGTATACAAAATAGAACAACTCAGAATTAAATGGTTATGTTCCATTTAGTAAACATCAGATCATGAGAAATAAGAATGAGGCGTTTTTTTTCACTAAGATGTTTAAATTTAGCAATATGATCTTCACTTCCAAGAAGCTAATAGCTATTGAGAGTTCAAGGCAAATTTCACCTGCTCATATCTGGTACTTATGCATCAGGGGTGAGGCCAAAGTTCTAGAAGGTAGCCCGTCTGTCTGCTCATTTCAGCACCTCTCCCTGGAATTGATGTGTGTCAAGAATGGGTGCTAAGAGGATCTTAGAGAGCTGCCTTCTACAGATGGGGGCCTAGAGGGTACAAGGTTCACCAACACCCAGTGTTGTCCACTGGAATAAAATTGGGAAAGCCAGAGAAATGGACAAAGCTCAATCTGAACTGAATTTGAGCCTCATAAAGCCACAGGTATATTTAAGAGTAGGCTCAGCAAATAAGAACCAAGGTAGCCCAGAGTCCTTCATGGGTTGAAGGACTGCTGAGATTTTTTTAGCCACAACTGCATCAGAATTCCTGCCTTTAACAGCATATGGAAAATTTAACACTGTTTCATTAACGCTCTCCACTTTGAAAAGTTTATGCTCCTGACTCAGGGTTGAACACATTTTTACATCCATTTTTATACCAAAGGAGATATATATTAAAATGAAGATATAGCTGTACATGATAGGATGTTCCAGAAAAGTTGTGCATAAATCATTTCTACATTAAAAGCACCAGGGGAATTAGTTTTTATAGATGAACTATTATGAATAATTCTATAAAGCAAATAACCACCTCTAGCTTCTCTTTTAGGTATATTAGAATTTTCATACATCGTATTCTCATAAGATTTGTTTAAAGCAAGATCTATTTGTGGTAGAAGTAAAGGATAGTCATTTATACTTAGCTACTTTATCTGTAGTGCTGAAACTTATAAATATTATATTTTATAATGTCTTCCTGAAAGAAATAATTTCCTGATTTTATAGTTCTTTTAAGAGGAATAACATTTTCTAACAGTTTCTAATATAACAATAAATCAATGATGAATGTCTTTTAAAAAATTTAAAGGTAGAACAAACCTGTAGGATAAAAAGAGTTGGTATTTACATACATTGAATGTTATGCAAATAAACTCAGAAAATATCAATGAGCATTGTAGGGTTATACTTCTCAATGATAGGAGGAAAATTCAACCTTGAAGAAAATGAATAGATAACTTTATATGCTATATCCTCAGTATGAGAAAAATTATATGTATAAGAATTATGATTTCAAAGGAAATGTTTTTATAAATCTAATATACAGAAGTGAAATGAAATTCACTGACATCTTTCCTTTGTGAATGAAATTCTCTTCTAATTCTAAAATTCTTTGACATTAATTTGTGTCTTGCTTAGGATTTAACATTGTTAATTATAATAATCCTAATGAATAATTTTAATCTCACATTAACAAGAAGTAAAAAACTTATTAAAGAAGAAAATAAAAATAAATGTTGTTTTGCAGATTATTGTCATCTGATGGGGCTATTGTCTTTTAACAATAATAATTTGTGAGCATCAATTCCTATACACACACACACACACACACACACACACACACACACACTAGAGGCCCGGTGCACAAAAATTTGTGCACTCGGGGGAGGGGGGTCCCTCAGCCTGGCCTATGCCCTCTTGCAGTCTGGGACCCCTTGGAGGATGTCCATCTGCTGGCTTAGGCCCGCTCCCTGGGGGATCAGGCCCAAGCTGGCAGTCAGACATCCCTCTGGCAGCCTGGCAGCCCTCGGGGGATATCCACTTGCCAGCAGGAAGCAGACCTAAGCTGCAGTCGGACATCCTTAGTGCTGCTGAGGAGGCAGGAGAGGCTCCCACCACCACCACTGTGCTGGCAGCCATCAGCCTGGCTTGTGGCTGAGCAGAGCTCCCCGCCGTGGGAGCGCACTGACCACCAGGGGGCAGCTCCTGCATTGAGCATCTGCCCCTGGTGGTCAGTGTGTGTCATAGTGACCAGTCATTCCCAGTCTTTCTGCTGTTAGGGTCAATTTGCGTATTACCCTTTTATTATATAGAATAGAGGCCTGGTGCATGGGTGGGGGCTGACTGGTTTGCCCTGAAGGGTATCCTGGATCAGGGTGGGGGTCCCGCTGGGGTGCCTGGCCAGCCTGGGTGAGGGGCTGATGGGTGTTTGCAGGCTGGTCAAGCCCCCCAGTGGCAACCCTCACACCATGGGGGTTTGGCAAGCCTGGGTGAGGGGCTGAGGGCCATTTTCAGGCTGCCCACACTCCCTTCAGGGTGGGGGTCCCCACTGGGGTCCCTGGCCAGCCTTGGTGAGGGGCTGTTGGCTGTTTTCAGGCTGCCCACACCCCCATCAGGGTGGGGGTCCCTACTGGGGTGCCTGGCCAGCCTGGGTGAGGGGCTGATGGCTGTTTTCCGACTGACCAAGCCCCCTGGTGAACGAAGCTCCCAGCCTTTCCTTTTTTTGTTTTTTGTTTTATTCGCTCCAGCTCTGTGGCCATGGCGGCTGGAAGCAGGTATCTGGGGTTTATTTACCTTCTATAATTGAAACTTTGTTGCCTTGAGAGGAGGCAGCAGCCGCTCCAGCTCTGTGGCTGCCGGCCGCCATCTTGGTTGGGTTAATTTGCATACAGTCGCTCTGATTGGCCGGTGGGAGTGGCTTAAGGCGTAGCGAAGGTACGGCCAATTTGCATCTTTGTCTTTTATTAGTGTAGATGAGTCTATATAATACATAATAACTACTTCACTTTTTAAAAAGAAATATAAAATACATAATAGTTACTCCATTTTGGGAAACAAATTCTTAAACTGATGTTTCTACTTTGGAGTTTCTAAGCAATTGAGACTTCCTGGCTGTCTGTTACATAGGTAAGAGAAACGAGGCACCACCCTTTTCCCAGGTGAAGAGTTATGATTGATGTCCCCATGGTCTAAAGACTGATCCTGGGGGTGGGGGTGGGGGTCTGGGGGGTGTGGTAGAGTGGCCACTTCCCAGTCACTGACCACGAATGAGGGATCTGCAGCAGCTAACTCACTGATCCTCCTGGAAAGCCTTCTCCATCAATCAACTTGTTGGAGGTCCCAGAAGAAGGAAGTTAGAAGCAGCGAGGTAATGGTCATGTCCTGTTTACTTCTACATCTAGACTTGAAGCTTCCAGAGGACAGGTGGCACACCTTTCTGTATGGCTCCAGTGTTGCTGTATCAGAGCACTTCGAGTAATCAGAAAATGTTGGCAGTTAATTGACACAGACACATAAAAGAGCCAATTCATTCCGAACTGGGAGATAATTACTCTCCTCAATGCAATTACAAAACCCAAGGTTGAACTTTTCTCATTTCTACAGTGCCTTGCTCATCCTGAATGCTCTATTAATATTTTTGAATGAATAAATTAATCTCAAAGTGAACCTGAGCCATGAAATAAACTATATCTTAGATTCTGAATAGGGCATAAGGTAGGCAAAATTTTACTTCAAACAACCTAATACAAAGGTACACTTTTCAGCTATATTTTCTTTTTGGGTATATCTTCTCCCCACCGATAGCAGGTCTTAATTCTACCATTTCTAGGGACAAGGATAGAAAGTTGGGTCCTCCCAGTGCCATTTTAGGGCCCTCCACTACCTGATATCTTAACAGCCTTGTTCCAGTGGAAGAAGTAAGTGGGAAAATTATCTAGCCAGGCAAACAAGTGCTTTTCTTATTCTAATGGGCTCAAGAGTTTCTTTAGAAATTCTCTAAAGATTATATGATATTTTGACTTTAGCTATAATGACAGTTCAAGCTGAAAATACACTTGTGAAATCTTGAAAACAACACATAAAAAAATTGTGAGCATAACAAAGTTTTCTAAAAGTAAACAAAGCTAACAGAAGCACAACTACTCAAGGCCTGTTTGTTCTATATATTTTCACCAAGACTATATCTATTTGGCAGAAATCATTAACCCACTTGTGTTATTTGCCACCTTGATACAAGTCAGACTTCTTGGATGTAATATGACTGGATTTGGTCCTTTTTTCTTCTGGCCATCCTCTGCTCCTTTGGAAGTTTATAAACAAAAGCTAAAACCATCACAGTGTCTCCCACATATAATTGTGCTCTGTGTTGTAAATAACACCTCGTAGAAAGGCTTAAACTTGTTCCTCTTTATTAAAATACCACAGATTTTCTGCCAGCATACACATTCTGATTACTCATTCACTGTTACTGAGCATTTCTGAATGTGTAATTAGCACA